AATAAAAATGGCCTACTTCGCTTTCAAAATATTACTTTGTGTAATAGCACAAAAATCAAAAATCACACTTGCATAGATATGTTTTTTTATATGTTTTTTTCTTTTTCAGACTGAGTTCATTTTTTTTTCAGACTTACTTATTTTGACATTGCACTTATTTTTTGACATTTAATAAAAATGGCCTACTTCGCTTTCAAAATATTACTTTGTGTAATCTTCTCTTACTATTTAAATTTTATCAACTTTTTATGTCTTTTTCTGCACGTTCATAATACGATCCTTTACCTTCTATTTTCCCTTTAAATATGTGACACGATAACTATTCTGCACTCGAGCCAAAAAATATGACATTTTATCGCATTCGATATCGGTACCGTGAACCGTCAGTCAATCCAACGTTCGTTAACAGTTGCCCGATAACGAGAACCATCAGACCAGTGCCTCATATATGTGTAAGCAAAAACAATTATTATAATTAAATTTCATACCATTAATAGCTTAAATGTTTATTGACAACAGCGTCTCAGAAGTTATCGCTTACGGGTTTTAAACTAAGGATCTGACTTGTAGCGTTCACTTTTTTTATACTGGAAGTTTTAAATTGTTTTGATAAATAACCTATCCATATCTTCCGTTTAGATTCTTGTAGATTTTAAGTTCGAATTTTTTATCCATTTTTGCAAGAATAGTCCTGATCGTCCAATTGGAAAATTTATTTATATCCATTAGGACAAATTTTAGCTTTCTAACTAATTTTTCGTGATTTTAAGCACGACAGGCGGGCGAACGAAGGGATGAAAGTTCGAATTTTATATTTGTCAAAATTATATATATATATCGGATATCTCCGATAATGCTTGTTTCCGGATTCAGTTTAGTATGAATGCAAGTCTCATTAACAGAAATTAAAAGAATTTAATTCATTAGATTAACACAAATAATTACTGTTAAGTAATTTGTGTAAAAAAAGTCTTCATCTACATTCGTGTAAAAAATAAAAAGCATACAAGCAAAATGATCGATGCTTTCTTAGCTTAGTAAACACATACAATTCCGCAATAGTCTAAATTCCGCTGAACTTAGAACATGCATTAATATTACAGCCTTAACCTAGTTATAATTGCAGATAAAAGAAAAAGAATCATAAAATTATGCAATCAACCGGTAAGTATAAGAAATATTGATTCTAATGATGAAAGTCAGTACGGCACCAACGAATCCATAATGGAATCAGTAACTGACATTATACTATGTACAAAGTTATTTCGGTGCAAACATGCCACCATACGGCAAATGCAAGTTAACCGATTTAGTTTATGTACGACATCGGTAATACGCGGCTATTAATAAGAATGGCTTTAATGGAACATACGTGGGTTGAAAAATTCATAGTTGAATTTGTGTTGGCCAAGTTTTATAAAAAAAAAAACTCGTTCCTTGATCGATGCATATGGGAACATTGAACACAATCTCATTTAGCAAAATCAGCGAATCGATAGTACCATCCAGCACCACCAGCATAACGACGAAGGTCAGAAAATATTTTGCATACTGTGAAAAATGAACCCCCAATGGGGTCCCAATTTGAATTCCGTATCGCAAAGAGCAGAAATTGTTTTTCAATTGAATCAACATGACAGCGATAAGAAGGTGACTGGGTATATGACCGAGGAATATTCAATTAAAATATATATAGGTCTCGTTCTTCGAGTATACGTACAAAACGATGCCACGTAACTTGCATTTTCACCTAATGCACCATATTTTTAATTTCTTGTAATTGAGATAGTGTTTGATGGAATGTATTGGCAAAAATTTTGTTATCCACAATAAATGAGAGATTTTTCCAATTTGTTACATCTCGAACAGGCAACAGATAAGTAAATAATGTACATGTGCGCTCGAACATTCGTAAATTGTGGGAAAAAAGTTCAAAAACAAATATGTATTTTAAAGTTTTTTATAAGAGCGACGCTTATGCACCAAACTCAACCCTGACATGATAAAGTGGATCCCTTTACCTATTCGGCACGTAAAACAGAATTAAAGTTAGGGTTGCTTGTTTTTTTTTTTTTTTTTTATTTATTTTTTTTTTTAACATATCGTTATGAAAAGTGGGTGGAACATAATACGTGCACACAGTTGACAAAGTCATTTGTCAGCAATTTGTTACAATTTTTTTTTTGCTTTTTTTTTTTTTTGTTCTTTTTGTTCTTTTTGGTAATCTGTGTGATTGCAATCGTAAATCTCTCACCGCATGTCTACCACAGTCAGTAAGTATGCAGCACACATGCATGTGAAAACAATATATAACAGAGCAAATCGAGAATATGATACTTATACAACTAACTGTGCATGTATTAATATACATTGACACACACACACACACACACACACATACATATATATACATTTTATATTCGTTTATGGACATAAATTATTTACTAGCCATGTCAGATGTGACAGTGTAAACAGTAGAGTATGGACAAAATTTTGCACAAAGGTTTGATTATTAATTTAATGAAATTTTGTCTGCGGTCCATACACACAACTCAATTGTGGTATTTAATTATAGATAAAAACGCAAGCAAGAGTGTTATACAAATTTAATCGCGCATCTTGCGTACGTAACCTTTTCAAAGTGCTTTCTGATAAATATCTGATAAATACGGCGGTTTATTCCGTATTTGGGGCAGGGCAGGTAGAATTGTCTTATTTATGTAAAAGCAATAATTTAGCTCATATTTTAAACCGCAAGCATCCATTACTTGCATTGGGAAGTATTAATAAAAGTATTTTGAAGGATTTTGCAAAATGAATTTAATACTAACACCGAGAACTATGAAGACGCGTTAACAATTGTCCTTGTATTAGTGACGGTATTACAACATTAATGTCTCCGTCTATACGACTATCCTTTGCAAAAAATTGAAAGAACAAGTCAGACAGTGCGTCATCCGTTCAAAAACTACTCTACCGCAACGACCATAGCAGATATTAATTGCACTGAAACGACGATTCCTATATTATTATTCAATTCTCCCTCTGCTTGGCCATTTAACCTCAATATAAAAATATCTGCGCATTCCAATGATCCTGTAGATTCAATGCAATGTCTCGAGGTCAGACTTGATCGCAAACTCAACTTTGTCCCCCGACACTGACAATGCATCTGCTAAAGTTTGTCTTACGCTCCGAAAACTGTACAATTTCAATTTATATCTGTCTCTACAGCCTCTCCGACTCCGCATGACGCATGTATAACGCAATGAATTGCAATCTTTTCTGGCTGCCCAAGTTTAGATAGCCTTCAAGGTATCGTTAATCATATAATATGTTTTGTTTATAGCATCAAACTGGGAGATCATATCTCCTCCTTTGTGACGTTGCTCATCTGTCTCTATAATTGAACGACTGCCCCGCTTATCTAACACTTCACGCGAACGATCCTTTACTGTTCGTACAACCAAATGTTGAAATGCCTTACCACTGACGCTTGATCGCACTGCTGTACTCAATTAATTAATACATGCAAGAATGGAAAAGGGGTATGACGAATAAGTTCTCCCCTTTTACCTATTTTTACTTTTGAACACATGTCATGAATGCCTGCGGGTAAAGGTGGTAATTGATCAACAAGCACAGTGGAAGCCTTATGGCGGAAGCAGTCAGTTGATCAATTGGTGAGTCCTGACTACTGGGTGCGGCCCTTCGGGGAGTACTCGTGGTGGTTGTGGTTGGCGAGTTCCTAGCTAAAATGGAACAATGAGTGCAGCTGGGCCTCGCCACTCACCAGAGTGGGGTTTATTGTTCCATACACAATAAACTGATCTGGACTCTGGTGCTGTTTAGGCCCCTACTCTGTGGGGATTGTCTAACTCGCCAGGGGGCGTAGTACGCTTAAAAAGTGGTTTGGGCCACCGTGGGGTTAAGCCTTACAGGCAGGAACCCACGTTAAACCCTTGCCACAAATTCTGCTGTACTCATAATATATATTTTGTTGCTCGTAGGTATTGGTCTGACTGGTTAAGTTTTATGCTGACTTATCTATGTACCTGGATAAGACGGCTATGGCTTTAGAGTTACTTAACAAATGTTTGAATGATCTGCTTACAGGAGAGCCATTGATTTTTAAAGCAACGGGGGAAACCATATTTGATAAATTATTTTTCAAGTATACTGTACTTTTTCGAAGCGATGAATACATAAATTCGCCCTATAACGAATATGATTGACTTTGATAATTATATTTATAGATGAGATTTTTTGAGTCGACATAATATATATATGAAGTTACTTGGATAGGCGAGCCACCAGGTTTTAATTGATTTAAAATATCACAATAAATGAGCCGTTTTTTTTTTGAAAGTGGCCTAAATCCATTTATGTTAAAGTCGAACTATTTAAAGCGTTGCGTTTTAATAGGTTTTGAAAAATATCGGTAACCTTTCTAAGGTGTGATAATAATAATAACAATAATAATAATATGATGATTTCGATGGCTACAAATGGACTTAAGCCCGGACTTTCGAAATTGATGAGACCACTTTTTTCAGTTGGTAAAAAACCACAAGTGTATGAAGAAAAAAAAAGAAAATTTCTGTTGAAAAGAAAAGCGAAAAGGAATTTAAAAGCATTCAAGTTTTATTTTCTCATTTCAATTATCATAATTCTTTCAATTGTTCTATCGGTTGTTGAAAAGCAAACACGAAAGTTGTGCGCAATTTTTAAATAATTGATTCAATTTAACGCGAAAATAACTATTTTGTTTGTGTGTATGTATAAATTTATGAAAAGATTTCGCGAAGACGCCGCAATTAGATTGTCATT